GGCGGGGCCGCACCCCAGCCTCACCGGCCGCGATGGCCCTGATGAGGGGCACCAGGAGGAGGTGGATGGGGTAGTTCCAGGGCGCGATGATGAGCACCACCCCGTAGGGGTCCTTGCGGATGAAGGCCGAGTCCAGCCGGGTGACCTGCAGGACACCCACCGCCTCAGGAGTGCTTCGCTGCACCCCCATCTCCATGCCCACATTCCACCCATCTCTGCCCGGCAGCTGGGTCCTTCCTCCCATCCTCTCCCTCATCTTCCCCCTTACCAGATTCTTGTCCACGTGCTCGTCCTTCATCCAGTGGGACAGGTTGTTCAGCGTTTCATGGAGCTCGTTCTTGCAGAGGAGGACCTCGGAGAATTCGGCTTCGAAGGGCGGCTGGTGACACAGAGCAGCGGCTCTTATCCCTACCCTGCGTATTTTTTTACCTAGGCTTTGGGGACCCAAACCCTTCACATCCCGTGGGGGATGCGCACTTTGCTGTCACCGCTAAGCTGCACGGCACAGCCCGCCACCGGGAGGGGGTGAGCCCCACCACGTCTGCGGCGTTGGGGTTTGGCGAGCTCCGAAATCCCGTTGCGATATCGCCGGGCCAGCCCTGTCGGCAGGAACCTGCCTGCGGCCGGGCTTTCCCTGCTGGGAGCTCCGTTGCGGTTTGGGAAAATTAAGTATTTGGGGAGGAGAGGGGTCTGTGAAGGCAGTGGTGTTGGTTTGGGGAAGAACGGGCTGCTCTGGTTATTGAGTCCTGTTTGGTCTGGAGACAAGAGCCACAACCCCTTTTTCTATCACGATATCCCCACAACGGGTGGGGAAGCTCCCTCGGGGCATCGCATCGACCCCCGGCCTGACGGCGGGCGCTGGCAGCGCTGCGGGCAGCCCCTCGGCTCCCCCGGCCACGGGGTCCCCCGGTTCCCCGCCCCCTCTCACCTTGCCCATGTCCAGGGCGGTGGCCTCCAGCACGTCCTGCTTCTTCTCGTCCAAGAAGCGTCCCAGGGCCTCCAGCTGGGCCACGCGGTACTCCATGGGCCGCGTCCTCCCCGAGAGCCAGGCTGCCCGCAGGCGGCTCACCAGCCCCGCGTAGGGGTTCCCGCTGCAGGGACGGGGATGTCAGGGGGACCCCGGCCCTGTCCCAGCCCCTCGCGCTCCGGGTGACGAGGAAGAGGAGCTCCACGTCGCCCGAGGCCATCAAACCGGAGCTCTGGGGAGAGGGCAGAGCACCTGGACCCCCCCCGCCCCCCGTCTCCCCTCTGTCCCAGCCGCTCGCTCTCACCTCGCGGCATCGCTGTCCACGCTCCCCTTCCCGCCACCACCATCATCCTCAGCGGCTTTCCCGGCCCCGCTGCCCGGCGGCTGCTGCCCGGGGGGCTCGAGGGGCCGCTTTGTGCCCAGCTGCGGCAAGACGCTGCCGGTCTCCATGGTCCCAAGGGAGTGGCACGGGATCGGTTACGCCGGGGTTGCCCGCGGGCTGGACAGGCTGCCGGCAGGCCTCAGGGAACCCAGCCAGCACCCCGGCACCGCGGCCAGGACCCTGCTGAGCTCTGGGGCTGCCCGTGGGGCTGGCAGGGTGCAGGCAAGGTGCAGGCAGGGTGCAGGCAGGCACTCCAGTGCTTGCTCCAGCCCACTCCTCCGGAGGAGGGCGGCTGCTGGCTTCCTGCTCTGCCCCTTGGCTGCCTGCCCCGCTGTGCGTCACCGCTGGCTGCGCTCCAGCCCAAACCACTTGGGATGCAAAAACGCGCCCCGGATCCAGCCCGGGGCACCTCGCCGCCACACAGCCACTGGGCACAGGGTGACGGAGGTGGACGCAACCCCAACGGGGTGCAACGGTGTGGCTGAGGGCGTCAGGGTGAGGGAGGGGGACATGGGGGGGGCCAGGCACCCACCCCCCGGGGCTCGGCTGCCGGATTCCGGCACCCCCCAAGCCAGGCGACGGAGGCACGAGGCAAGGCCAGGCAGGAGAGCTCAATGCAAAGTCTTTACTACAGGCAGGGTTACACGGAGGAAAAAGCAACAGCCGGCACCGAGAGGAGGGAGAGCGAGGGTCATCCAGAAGGAAAGGTCCGACTAACGGGAGATGGGGCGAACTGCTGGTCCTCAGCCCCGTTTCTCTGCTGGGAAGAGAAGTACGGGGTGAGAAAAAGAACTTTTTGCTGTTTCAGATGTGTGTTGGCAAACGGTCCGGAGCAGAGGCAGCTGGGGAGGAGCGAGCGTGCAGGAGGAGACGTCCGTCTCCGCCATCCGACGTGCATTGGGCGAAGGACGCGGCGAGGGAACGGGAGACCGGTGCCGAGGCGGGAGGAGGATCCCGGCCTTCCGGGGAGGGCGGATTTGCTTCCTGAGGGGACCCAGGATTCCCCGCGCTCCAGTCCGTCAGCAGCGCGGGGCAGCCCTCAGAGCAGGGTGCACATGCCCTTGCGCTTGATCTCGAAGGTGGCTGTCAACAGCCCCAGCTTCTGCTGGCTGTAGGGCGGGTAGCGCAGGGCGTTGAGGGTCTCCAGGCCCATGTTGCGGTGCAGGCAGCCGCGGTGGTGGGTGAAGGTGTCGAAGGTGAACCTGCCGTGGTATTTCCCCAAGCCGCTGTTTCCTGCAACACACAGCACAGGTCCCAGCTTGCTATTCCTGCCCACTCCAAGCATCATCCTCAACACAAGGAAAACTTTACAGCCTTTTCTCATGCAAAGGCTCCCGCTGAGCAACGCAGGCGCAGTGGAGGAGATCTCACCCTTCCCTGCGCCTTTCCCAGCTCCTCGGTCCAGCAAATCCTTCTGCAGCTCGCCGCTGTTTGGAGGTCCAAGTGCATCGTTTTTACTGGCCTACCTTTATCTACACGAGCTTTGCTGGGTCTACGAGGCTCGATTTCCCTCTGCGGTGCTCTACCCTATCTACCCGTGGTTAGGAGCTACCAGCGTGGCCCTGACGAAGGTCAGCGTCTTCCTGGAGCTCTTAAAAACCGGAGCCACGTTGGCAGCACTGGTTCTCCTGATTCCTGTGGCTGGTTTAAGCTTGAGCTTGCACGTCACGGTTAACAGCCCAATGACTTCACATCCAAGCTCCTGTGGAAGCTTTGGCGAACGCCATCTCACCCCGCTGACCTCAGACCCTTCACCTGACCGGGCTGCTATAAAATGGCTTCACCTGATAATTTGAGGTAGTTTGTCTGAATCATTTTTCCATGAAGATAAGTTAGGGTATGGGAACCACCAAAAATTGTTCCCTGAGCCGCAGTCAGGCGAGGAATTAATTGTGCTTCGCTGTCGCGGTGTCCTATTATGTCTGAATCAGCTGCCAGCCCTGACAGAGCTGAGCACAGGCAGCATAAAACAGAGGTATTTTCCCCAGAGAATATTCTGGAGAAGAGACCGGGAGATTGGGAAAGTATTCTGGGGAAACAGCGTCAGAGGCTCCCTGTATTCCCGTGCTCCTCCCTGGACAAGGCTACAACCAGGGCCCCGGGCTGAGCAGAGCTCACTTTTCACCTGAGAAAACAGTTGTTGTTGCTCCTGGAGAGCAGAAATTCTTCCTCTTTGCGGAGGAGGCTCTCCAAGTTACCAGAAGCAGATTTCCCAGACATTTATAAGTGTTTTGCTCCTGTTATTTAGTCCTAAAAGGCAGAATGAATGTACAAGCCTGCTCCGGAGTGACGCTAAGGGCTCCTGTCCGGCACCACGCTGTCTGCGGGAGCAAGCTCACCTCCCCAAGAACCACAACGCCATGGATCTGCTCCCAGAGGAGGAGCGGAATGATGGACAGACCCAAGGGAGCAGCACTTGAGGAGGTCCCAGGTAAGCCTGAGCGGGGCAGGAACCCAACCCTGGCACAAAATTCACTCACGGTGCCCACGCTGCTCAGAAATACCAAGGAAACACCCACGTGGTGCAAACTTCTCTACCTTTTATGTTTCCATGTACACAGGGAACACTGTGCTTGGGACACCGAGCCCAGAGAGAAGAAACCCCACCATGGGGTGGGATCACACCTGGCTCACGTTGGCCAGGGGCAGGCGGGTTGGGGGATTTGGACCTACCGATCCCACCGAAGGGCAGCGAGGTCAACGTTGTGTGCATCAAGGTGTCGTTGCCGCAGAAGCCACCGCTGCTCGTCCGCTCCAGGACCTGGTTCACCACCTGGGAGGGAAGCAGAGAAGGTGGACGTGGGTCTCGCACCCCGGCTCCATGGGCAGCGCTTGTCAAACATCACCCAACTCACCCATCAGCCCGGTGTGCCCACAGCAGCCGGGCTCAAAAGCCTTTTCAGAGCTCGCCCTGGGCTGTCGGCAAGGCAGGCGCTAGCCTTTCTGCCCCATTTCCCTCACCCCCCTTCCTGGTCCGTGGACCACACGCACCTTGCTGTCACAGGAGAAGGCGTAGATGGCCAACGGCCGCGGCCGCGCATTGATAAAGTCAATGGCTTCGTCCATGTTGGCCACAACAACGATGGGCAGGATGGGCCCGAAGATCTCCTCCTGCATGACAGGATCAGAGGGCAGCACGTCCGCCAGCACCGTGGGAGCTGCGGAGAAGGGTGATGGCAACGCGTCACTCAGTGCACGGGCACGGGTGGTCCCACAAGCCCCCAGGCCCCGGGCCCTCACCGATGTAGCGCTCCTTCTCGTCTGTCTGTCCTCCGATGGCCACGCGCCCGCTGCACAGCAGCGCCCGGATACGGCGGAACTGCTTGTCCCCCACGATGCGGCCGAAGTCGGGGGATTCCTGGGGGTTGGAGCCAAAAAACTCAGTGATGGCCTCGCGCAGGGCGGGCATCAGCTTGTCCTGCATCTCCACGCTGCACAGCACGTAGTCGGGGGCCACGCAGGTCTGCCCCGCGTTGAAGAAGCGGCCCCAGGCCACCCGCCGGGCCGCGTTCTGCACGTCGCAGGTGTCGGACACGTAGCAGGGGTTCTTGCCCCCCAGCTCCAGCGTCAGGGGAGTCAGGTGCTTGGCAGCCGCTGCCATCACGATCCTCCCGACGGAGGGGCTGCCTGTGGGCAGGGAAGAGATGCGTCACGGTGAGGATCCCACCAGCTACGGCACAGCTCTGGGACGCGGCACTCTGGGGAGCCAGGTCCAGGAAAACGCACCAAGTCCCACCAGACCCCCCAGACACGCACATCGCAGATCCTCCACCAGATCCTGACACCAGATCCCCAACACAAACCCTGCCATCTTAGAGGGCAGGGAAGGGTCCGGATGCAGGCAGGCTGCCCCCCATCTCACAGCGGGAACCCCTCGTCCTCATTGCACAAAATCCAGGCAGGGCTCTGCTCTGGCCCGCAGGACGTACCAGTGCAGAAGATGTAGTCAAACTTGTTCTCCAGCAGTCTGGTGGTCTCCTGCACACCGGCGGTCACCACGGCAAAGCAGTCCTGCAACATAAGAGGAAGGATCCGTGTCCGTCAGCATCTGCCCAGGCCACTCCGTCCCCGTCCCCGCCAACAGCATCCCGGGCTGCTGGGTGTGCGGACACGGGCTGAGCGTGGAGGTACCGCGGCACCTGAAACCAGGGATGGTGCGGCGCTGGGGTGCGTGAGGCAGGGCTGGGAACACCACGGCCCAGGGACGGGGAGAAGGCCAGGGAGAGCTTCTTACATTGTCCAGGTAGCAGGTCAGCGTTTCGGCAACAAGTCTCTCGGTGTTCTTGGTTATCTCCGAGGGTTTGATAATGACGCAGTTACCTGGGGGGGGAGATGGACAGGACATCAGAGCAGTGACATGGTGACGAGGCCCCTGGCCAGACCCCGTTGCCGGTGCCCGGCGCTGCAGGATCCTCCAGGCCAGAGGAGAGGTTTGGCTCACCGGCAGCGATGGCCCCGATGAGGGGCACCAGGAGGAGGTGGATGGGGTAGTTCCAGGGTGCGATGATGAGCACCACCCCGTAGGGGATTGCGGATGAGAAGGCCGAGTCCAGCTGCGTCACCTGCGAGAAGGGCCAGGATCTCAGTGCCGTCCCACCGCCTCCCGCCCTGCCTCGGCCCAGCACGCAGCTCTCCCCTCCCCAGCCGCCGCTGCTTTTTCGCTCTTCCCTTCCCAGGTCAGCCCAGAGCTTCTGCCTTACCAGATTCTTGTCCACATACTCGTCCTTCATCCAGTGGGACAGGTTGTTCAGGGTGTTGTTGAGGTGGTTCTTGCAGAGGAGGATCTCGGTGAAGTGAGCCTCAAAGGACGGCTGGGGACAGACATCACATGAGCATCACCCCAACACCGACCCCATCTCCTCCCCGTCCCCAGGAGACATCTCCCCCCTCTTCTGCCCATGAAGAGCAGTAGAAGCTGTTAAGTAGAAGGCATTAAGCAGAAGGTATTAAGCAGAAGTTGCTGTCACTTCCTGCAACCCCTAGGGAATATCACAGTCCCTGAAATTTTATGAAAATAGGTATTTGGCCAGAGGAAAAAACCCATATTGAACATCTTCACAATATTTAACAGCCTCCTGAGCTCAGCATCTGTGAACTGCTCACCTGGCAGAGCCCTGAGCCAAGGGAGGACCAAGCAATGTCACCGGAGCTCCAGGAGCGACAGAAAAGCTGGTACGGGTGTCAGGCAGCTCCGCACCGCTGACCTGGGATGGGACAGTGCTCTTCCACATTTGTGTCCCGACCACTCGGGCACGTGAGCTGGAAGCAAAGCCCTGAGCTCCCTCCCACAGCCCGTGCATGAAAGCTGAACTTAAGACCTTGCTTTGTTCAAAGAGAAATAAGAAGAAAAGCAGCTGCTTAATGAAACGGCTCATGATGGAGTTTGGCTGGATGCCACGAGACTCCCGTCCTGGGCAGAAACCCCCCTGTAGCTCCTGGGGCTCCTGCACTCAGCCGGCACGTGGCTGGGAAAGGCAGGTCAGGTGAGGAATTAAACAAACCCAGCAGGTTTCTCCAAGCTGGACCGTCCCAACAGGCCGTGATTAAACGGACGGTGACTCGGGAGGGGTGGTGGGACGTCAGAGCTGGGATCGCAAGGGCCACCGAGGCATTTCCTGCACGTGGCGGGTCCTCGCTGCGGCCGTAACCGGAGCCGTGAGGTGCAGCTCAGGACCATTCTTGCAGGAGAAGCGTGAAGATACAAGAAGGTAACTCAGCAGGCTCAGTAAAGCCCCTCCGTCACCCTGGAGAGCAGGAGGAGCAAAGCTCCTGCACTTTGAAGCCGTGTTTGCAAAGCGCAGTGGGCACAGCTGCCCGACACCCTCCACCGCAACGTCCTTCGGATTCCTCCAACCCAAAAGCATCCCTGGGTGGGAGCTTTCCTCCGTCGCTGCAGCAAAACACCACTTTGGGGTCGGAAAGTTTGGTTGCTGACTCCCAGACCAAGCTGCTCCTAAATGTGACAACGTAAATGATGGGCTCGGCAGGCACATCGGATGTCCGGTGAAGCAACGGGGCCGCTCTCGGCCCGGTCTGACGGTTTCATCACTAGGAGGATGAGGAAATTGCTGGTGAAGATGGGCCATTAAGGGCTTTGATGGGACAGGGAGGTTGTAAGATGGGACATTAAGTCTGAGGTCATCCAAATTCCTTCAATCATCAGCGGAGAGAAACCGGCATCCCTGGAGGTGAGGTACCCACCTCAGATACGTAAGACCAGATGAATTGTCCAGCTAACTATGAAGGCCCGACTGCATAACAAGCATATTACTAGACAACCAGCTCTAATTACGTGCAATTAGGAGAGATGAAGGACGTGCTTCGAGTGCTGATGCCTATCAATCCCTGGCTGAAGGAGAAGGCCATCACCTCAAACAAACAAGGCAATGACGAGCCTGGGGAGATGTCAGGATGTTGAAACCCGTGTCTGAGGGCACGGCCGCCGCACTGATACACCCGCAGACACCAGTCCTTTGGGTCCGAGTGCTACCACTACCAGATAAGACCAATTATGGTGCGTCAGGGCAAGCCATCCCTCCGATAATGTTTCCTAATGCCACACGACCGAAGCGTGCGGTGGCCTGTTGGGCTGCGGCACGCGTCAGGAAGGGAAGAAGGGGGAGAGTAGGGTCCTGAAGCAACCGAGGGAGAAGAGGTGAGCTGAGACCGGTAGACACAGCCACGGCAGGGAAGCTCCCGCCTCCTCGGCAGACCGCCTGGGAGCTCCCGGCGTGCCGCAATACCCAAAGCCACATCCAGGTCCTGTGCAACCACACGGCTCAGCGCCGTGCCAGCAAAACCAGTCCCTGCGAGGCCAGTGAGCCCTGAGCAGCCCTGGGAGGAATGTGCAAGGCCAACACGTTGCACAATGCCGATAATCCCGGGTGCAACCAGGCTGGCACCCCAGGACATCGCCCTCTGTGGAGGTCGCATGAAGCCACCAGGGACTCGATGTGTGGGGTGGACGCGGCGGGTGAAGCTCATTAACGCTGAGATTCCCACCTCGCATCGGCCAATGGGGGCTTTGCCAGTTTAAGTGCACTGGGGACGGGGTTAGCAGCATCAAGCCTGCCCGGCAGCGTGGTCCCTACGTGTGCTGTGGCTAAGCCCGGCTGTGGAGAGATCTGCAAGGACCCAGTGCCTACGGGTGTGCCACACCAGCCCTGGAGCACATCAAGGGGGCTGTGGGACCCCAACGAGGGCACCCCGATGCCCAGAGCCCCACACCTGCACCCAGGAGGATGAAAGACCCAGACGAGGTATACAGAGCCCCAAAAATGTGACCCTGGTGGTCAGCACCCGGCCCCTTCTCACCTTGCCCATGTCCAAGGCGGTGGCCTCCAGGATTTCCTGCTTCTTCTCGTCCAAGAAGCGTCCCAGGGCCTCCAGCTGGGCCACGCGGTACTCCATGGGCCGCGTCCTCCCCGAGAGCCAGACTGCCCGCAGGTGGCTCACCAGCCCCGCGTAGGGGTTCCCGCTGCGGGGACGGGGATGTCAGGGGGACCCCGGCCCTCGCAGCTCCCCCAGCCCCTCGCGCTCCAGGTGATGAGGAAGAGGGCTCCACGTCACCCCTGCTCCGCTTCACCCCAGCCCAGCATCAAACTGGAGCCCCAGAGTCCCTGGGGAGAGGGCAGGGAGCCTGGACACCCAGGTCTTCCCCTTGCTGCCAGGAACAAGGGCTTCTTGTGCCCCCTACACAGCACCGTTCCTGGCAGTCCCTTGTCTCCTCCCTTGAGCCACTCTGGGGGCCCATGGACCCCAAACTTGTCCCCCAGCATCCCTCATCAGCACGAACCCGGGGACACCAGCACCCCAGCACCTCCTGGCTACCTCACCCCAACCATCCCGGCTCCCTTCTGCCCCCACCCACATGCCCCCGGCCCCTCGCTCTCACCATACAGCACTGCAGATCACCGGCCCCTTCCCGATGCCTCCACTGCCACCGCTGCCTGCGCTACACCCGGCGTCTTTCCCGGCGTCGCTGCCCATGAGGCTGCACTTGCCATAGCCCAGGGGCTGCTGCCCGGGGGGCTCAAGGGGCTGCTGCATGCCGAGCTGTGGGAAGGAGCTGCCGGTCACGGAGAGAACGTGGTGGCCCTGGGGAGAGACACGGGGTGGGTTATGTCAGAGCTGGAAGCTCAATTCCAAGAGGAGTCACCCCACAGCGAGACACCCGTGCCCCAAGCTTGGGGCTGTCCCAGCCGTGGGGTGACTCAGCCCGGCGTGGCTGCCGGATGCTCCGGTGTGCCTGGCGGGAGATGCCTGGGATTCCCGGCTCCGGGACAGGCACCGGCCTCCGGCTAGGGACCTGCCTGGGCTGCCCTGCCGACCTGAGGGAACCCGGTGCGGGGCAGCATCCCAGGCTGATCCCTGGGATCCCCAGGGACCCTGGTGCGGGGCAGCATCCCAGGCTGATCCCTGGGATCTCCGGGGACCCCGGTGTGGGGCCGTGTGAGCCAGCAGCGGTACTGCCGCAGCCCAGCCCACCTTTGGGCACAGCATCGCTCCACCAGCACACAAAGACGTGCCCAGAGCTGGGGGGCAGAGCCACAGCCCCACATCTGCTCCCCCTGCCCCTTTCCACTGCCCAGTGCACCCACCCTTCCTCGAGGGAACCCACCCAGCGTGGTGCTCAGCGCCCCACAGCCTCCACCACTGCGGGGCCGGAGAAGCCCAGCCGTGGGGCCAGCCAAGTGCCGCGCAGGGGGGGTCCAGTCCCCGGGGCCCCAGAGTGCCTACCTGGGGGGCTGAGCGGTGGCGAGGAGCACGAGGCCGGGCTGGCACTGCCGAGGCTCAGGGTGGCCCTCCTAAATGCTGTGGGGCCAGTGGCCAGGCCCCATGGCCAGGGGCGGGCAGGACTGTGCCCCGCCTCCGTGGGGCTGGCAGTGGGGACAAGGCCTGGGATGGGATGGGATGGGATGGGACCTCCCCCATGGGATGGTGGCACTGGGGAACTCCCATCCATGGCCACTAAACCACCACCATGAACCTTGACCCACTGGGACCCATTGGACCCTCACCCTGCTCCCCTGGGCCACCCTGACCCACAGGGTCCCCATAGGGACCCCTTCCCTTGCTCCCTGGGACCATCCTGACCCATGGGGACCCCGCAGACACCCCTCATCTGCTCCCCTGGGCCACCCTGACCCACAGGGACCCCTCATCCTGCTTCCCAGGGGTACCATGACCAATAGATACCCCTCACCCTGCTCTCCAGGGCCACCCTGACCCATGGGGACCCTGCAGACACCTCCAATGGACCCCACGCGTCCCCCATCTGCCCATAGGTTCCTCCCACCGGGCAATACAGCCCTTGCCTCCCCTCCGAGATGCCAGCTCCCCGCACGCCCGCTCCCCTGCTCAGCCCTAATTACCCCCCTTCGTAAACAGGAAGGGCAGCAGCCCTGCCCCGCGCGCCCTGACACCGTGCCCTGGGCTCAGCCCTCGTGGCCACGCTCCCCAGGGACCCGCAGCAGCCCCCCAGGGAAGGGGGAACGGTTTCCCCCCTGGCAGCACCCCAAACTGGCACCGTGAGCTTGGCCAGGATGCCCGGGGCAGCCCCAGGAGCCAGCCCCAGCTTCGAGGGGGGCACAGCCATCCCCGAGCAGCCCCTGCCTCCACAGAGGATGCCACACGTCCGCCGGAGAGATCCACAAGGGACAGCGGTGGATCAGTACCCAGAATGGGCTGGTGGGGGGTACCGGGGTCCCCCATCCCAATTTGGGAGGTGTTGGGGGAGGAGGTGCTCCGCACGGCCCCTGGGGATGGGGAAAAGCAGGGAACTGGCTCTCCATCGGAATCACCAGAGCCCAAGCGGAGGTAGCTGCAGACCTGGGGGCTGCAGGGTGCTGGGGACCCAAATCGGCCCTGGGGGGGACACACTGCCCCCCATCGCTCGGGTTCAGGGCCATGGACCCGCACCTCTGGGAAGGGCCCCGTGCCCCCAGCACCCCGGGGTGGCTCCTCTCACCCTTACCTGGGGCAAGGGGGTCCTTGGGCTGGGTGCTGCTCCCTGGCAGCCCCCTGGGCCGCATCCTGCACTGCTGCTGTGGCCCTTCCCGGGGCCGTCCCCCGCCACGTCCCCCCATCCCGCGGGAGCCACGGCCTCAGCACCCTCCCCACGTGGCGCTGGCTGCCTGTCCACCGCAGCTCAAGAATCCCCCGCTACCAGCTGGGCCGGATCCTGCCCTGGCTCCCCGTGACGGAGATTTCACCCTCCCCACCCTGCCCCGGGGCACCGGCACTGCACAGCCGTGGGCACCGCGCCATCGCCACGTGCCTGGGCACCCTCCCCGCCTTGGGTTTTGGATGACGCTGGGAGAGGTGTATGCCCCATCACCCCCCAAACCAGCCCCACACCCCCCAAACCAGGGTGTCCCCCCGCCCAGGCACCCTGCCGCATCACCCAGGCCGGGAAGGGGAAGCGAGAACGGCTGGGCCCCGGGCAAGGCAGGCACCCGACGCCG